TAGCATTTGAAAAGAAATGAAAAGCACAAAATAACTATTTAAATAACACAAACATTTCCTTCTTTATTAGACTCATGCAAATGAGAATCGAGGGAAGAAATGGTTAAATGTACAAACTTTGTGGATTGGATCTCTGAGACACAAGTACTTTACACCTTCTTTAAAATGTCACATTGACACTTTACAGCTTTCTAAAGAGTAATTTAAGGAACAATGTGAGGTAGATTTATGGTTCAACATAAAAACACGCATTTAGACTTTTGTGTAGCACATGCTAGGTAATTGGTACAGGTTTGGGGGAATTTTATCTGTCTGGGATACCTCATAATCATCATTATTCACCTGATAAATGATAACTGAATTTGGTACACAAAATAGGTTTAGGGATACCGATGAATATATCTAAATGTACCTTATAAATATTTAATGTACTGCCTGCAGTAATTTTGCACATTATCAATTATCAGCATTTTATGTAATAAAAACTATTTCTCTTTCAACTTATAAAAACTCTAACCTCAAAATGTATTTCATTTTTTTATACTCCAGATATTATATTTTCTTTTATGAAGCAAACATTTATTGTGTATCTGGCTTGTGCCTTTCATGATAGACACTGGGGATACAGTTTTGAACAAAACAAAAATGACCCCTGGCTTAATGAAATGTAGGACCAATAAAAATCAACTGTAGAGTGTTTATGGAAAAAAGATAACTTTCATTCTTACTTTGATTTTATCAGAATGTAATTTAAAATTAGGAACTATAACAGAAGTTAGTTGATCAATGTTGGTGACAAATATCAGGGTACAATTTTTTTCAGTTCAATTTAACAAATATTCATTGACTAAATATTGCTCCAAATTTGATGATATAGATACAGCGCTGAAAAATGGCCCTTGCCTTCATGGAGTTTAGTCTAATTACTTCAGTTACAAATCATGTGCGTATATGTTAAATTTAACACATTGGAGAGTAGTGTGGATTACAGTTTACTTACTCTGAATACAAAAAAAAGTCATGCTTTTTTTTTTCTCTTTTTTTTACTTGACTTGCATGTATTAATCTAGTAGGAAGTGTTTGAGACACAAACATACTTAAGTGTTTAGTGGAGTTTTTTAAGAAATGAAATTATACTTTTTTTCATAGAAAGTTGTATTTAATATATCTTATTATATTTAATGGTGGCATTTTTAAAGGAGACATAGTTTTGTGAAATTGCTGGAAATATTTTTATATAATATGATAAGAAAATTCATAACAGATTTTTTTCTACCAATTATTTCAATGACTAAGAATCTATTTGTGTCTCTCTTTATTTACTGTGATATATTTCCTACAGGGAAAGTGAAATTCAATGTCATGAGATTACCTTGAACTTCTTAGTTATTCAACAATTTTTGAGTCCTTCCACACTTCCAGGCATCTTTGTTTGAATATCAATGAAGTCTGGGTCTCATTTGCCTATCTTCCTTAGAAATTGTCTTTTTGTCATGGTCTTAAAATATAATTATTAATCACTTTATTTCATGCTAATGGGATAGAAGCTCTTGGTGTAACAAAGGTGGTACTTCTAATAAATCTTTAGTAAAACTGATAGAAACTAATCTGTTAGCAAAGGTAGATTTAAAGTACAGCCAGACACTTTTCTGGTATCGTCCTGGATAAATATCTTACCAAGCTTTTCTCTTTCCAATCTTTGTCCCTTTTTCTAATCTAAACATATAATTTTAAAAAAGCCTTTATAGTCAGCGAAGGCAGACACATTAGCTATTCCTTTTGTCCAGCAAATAATCTGTGTCTTTTAACAACTTTCTTGCAGGTCAATACATTTCCCTAGAATTTGCTTAGTCCAGCAATAAATCTAACTGAATATTTCCCCACAGAAGCGTATTAAATTAATATTTTAACACTGTATAAACTTATAAAATAATGTAAACCATATAAATGAATAAGTGCAATTTTGACATTATTTTCTGACACGTTTAAGTAATCAGGTTGATCAAAAGAAAATGTAAGATGAAATGTACATAAAAACTTCTATAAATATCAATAAAATATATACTTTCTGATTGTGAGGTTATGACATTCAACTACAGATTATGGTCTAAGCCAAACATAACAGAAAAAAAGACTATTTTCAAGGAAAATATACATATACATTATTAAATGCTAAAACTTTACAAATCCCCCTGATCCAGAATTGCTAGCAGATGCTGGGTTTTGAATTCAGAATAAAAGTCTCATCCAGATTGATCATGATTGTAGTCTTAATTTAAAATTTTAACATGTAAGATTATACTTGAATTATTATTGCCTCTTTTCTAAATCATTTTCCAAGTATAAGCCAAGCTCTTGAACAGAGTATTTCTAAGAAACAGATGTCAACATTGGTAACAGATTAATTTTTATCGAAGAACAGGATTTGATGAGATTATTATTCAGTATAATATAATCTGATTCTATTTAAATATTTTTAGATAGGAAGTTGTAGATGGATACTGTGATCCGTCAGTATGAACTATTTGAATTAAAATGTAACTCCTGAAAAATATACTCTTTCTACAATGTTTGAGCTATTACCTTTTCTCTTCACATTTTTTTTTAAGTAGAACTTTTCCAAATGTAGACTGAAAAATAACTTTCATTTCCTGGATAGGAAAAATCTCCTTTCTTTGTCACCTAATGAAGAATTATTCCTAGAGCAGAAGAGCATCACCTAATGTCTCATGAGAAAGCTATTAGTATGAGATCGTCACATTTCTTAGATAGAGACTTAATGCGAAACATTAGTGTAGAAATCCATTTTCACAATCTTTATTACATCTTACATCTCCCCTCTGCTTTGATGAAGGTTGTATTGTTAGGTCATGAAAAGGAATGAACTGGGTTTTAGAAGTAGAAACATTATCTAATTTCTTTTTGTTTCTTTTTTTTTTTTTCCCCTCACTTGAGGAAATGGATCCAATAGTCAGTGAAAGGATTAATGATGGAAATGGGATTGATTTTAAATGTGGAAACCCCTGAAATGTCAAAATTAATCTGAAGGATTTTATATATGCAAAGTACTAAGGCATTTTATATGTGACCACCAATCTTACTTCCACAAATACCTTTTTTATGTGTTTTTTTTTTTTTTTTCCTGCGGTACGCGGGCCTCTCACTGTTGTGGCCTCTCCTGTTGCGGAGCACAGGCTCCGGACATGCAGGCCCAGCGGCCATGGCTCACGGGCCCAGCCTCTCCGCGGCATGTGGCATCTTCCCGGACCGGGGCACGAACACATGTCCCCTGCATCGGCAGGCGGACTCTCAACCACTGCGCCACCAGGGAAGCCCCCATTCATTCTTTTATGCCCCTTTTTGGTTTAAGGGGACTCTTAAAGGTTTAGCTTGGGATACTGCACAGGAGAGGTGATTTTCTTAAGGCCAGCACAAGATATGGAGTTAGTTGCCTTCCCAGTATCACGGACCTCTTCTTCCTCACTAACACCCCTGCACATTTGGCTTTTGTTTGAATAACAATATGTTCACCTACATACTTGCTCACTCAGCCTCTCTTGCAGTAGGAATGGCCATGGGATATTGTTCTGGCCATTGTAATGCAGACATAATCCTTGGGGAAAGCATGTCTTTCCAAATCGAAAGTTGAAGCTTCACCAGGAGGAAGTCTCCTGCTTGCTCTTCTGTCTTTACCTTGCCTTGAATTCAAACAAACACCTTTAGATGCAGCAGCCATCTTATGCCTTGAATGAATAAAGCCAACATACATAGCAGGTTGTGGGTACTGCAGAACAGCTAAACTAATATCCACACTTCCTCCGATAGGTTTCATATTATGTGAGAAAAATCATCCCTTATCTATATAAATTACTGTTAATTGGACTTTTGTTATTTGTATCTGGATGCTTTATGGACTGATATATGATTTCTCTTACCTTGTTCTTGTATTGGACAAGAAGAAAAAATGTGGTAGATATTGGGTAGGAAGATGCTATGTGTATTTCTCGCCAATTTCTTAAAATGATAAGAATAGTATTTTCAGAGGGAATATCTACATTTTTTCTGGATAACCTAAAGCTATCTGAATGAGAATCTATGTATATGATCAGCCATTGTTCAGAGAGGACAAGTTAGTTGATTAAGGCTAGAGTAGTGAAATAGAGAATCAAGTAAAACTTGGCTCTGATGCACATAATCCCACAATCTTGCCCTTATTCCAATGAACCAGAGAGTTTTTATGATATCTTGCTGTGTGTTGTTCTTAACGAATAATTGGCAATTCTGTTGACTACCTTTGAGATGAACAAAGAACACTTTTGTGACTGAAGCATTAATTTTGGCTTCCACTTTGCACTACTTACTTACCTAACTGATTCCTGTCAATGTCACATTGACTGAAACAATATTTTTAAGGGAAATTTGACAATTTGTAGCAAAAGTCTTAAAAATATTAACAATCTGTCTTAAAAATATTCACAATCTGTGAATGTTATTTATAGAAAGAATTTTAAAGAACTAATCAGAGATAAACAAGTTAAATTACCAATAAGAAGGGATTGGTTAAGTAAGTACTGTTTAAATTATACCCTGACATATTATATGCTCCTTGGAAATAACATAGAATAATATTTAATTACCATTGAATACTCACCAGTTAGTATTAACAAAACTAGCAGGTTATGAATATTATACGCAATATTATTCCAATTTCAGAGGAAATAAAAAAAGACCGATAGCATCTGTACCAAAAAGTGAAGAGTGTTTCTCTCTGAGTGCTTCAATTATGAGTGGTTGTTTTTCTTTGTATTATTCAATGTTTTCAAATTTCTGCAACCTATATGGCTCAGGAAAAAGATATTTTTAAAGATATCTTGGCTATTAACAAAGTAACTGTAATTTAACACTGAAAATAGCTTAACAGTAAATCATTTTTATTGACTACCTTTTATCATCAAAAAGTTTGACAACAAATCTATGTTTGTTTGTTTGTTTTAATACAGAAATCCTAAATGGTGGAGTCTATGTAGACCAGAACAAGTTTCTTTGTTATACAGACACAATTCATTGGCAAGATATTGTTCGGAATCCATGGCCTTCCAACCTGACTCTGGTGTCAACAAATGGTAGCTCAGGATGTGAGTAGCATTATCCTTTTTAATGTCTCAAAAGATTCTTCTACCTCTTGTTTTCACAAGAATGGCTTATGTTTATCATGTCATTAATAGTATTTTGAATTTTGACTGCATCCATTGAAATGTTTATTTATGTATGACAGGACATTCTTTTTGCTTCTAATTAACTCTCTTTTTAGAATGATACTCCCCCTTTACAAATTCTCATTGTCTTAACCTGATCCCTTTTGCTAAATCTAAATTATTTTACCATATTTCTAATGTCTAAGCATGTGGCCCATTGTCCATAAACTTAAGTCTGGTGTGTATCTGCTACTTCAACTCTTTGTGACTCATATACCACTGAGAAAAAGGTAGTAGAACAAAAATGTACTTTCCTATTCACTGAATTTTTTAGATAAGAAATAAAAACCAGTGAAAATTTTAGAATTCCTAAGCCTTCATTTACCCCTAAAACCTTCATGGTAGTACCTTATGACAATTCTAAACACTATAAATAGAATGGAGAAATATATATTTCATACAGAAGAAATATATATTACATTATGGTTTTACTCATTAGCCTAATAAACTAGCCAATTTCCCATTCTTAAAGTGTATAGTATTTCTACAACAGAGGATTTATTAGATTCAAACTGTTTAATATGATTAAATGATAAGCAAGTAATATTTGAACTCTCATTAAAGCCTTTGGAAATTATTCTGCTGGGAATCTGTTTCACTTTTATACAGCAGGCTATGTTGTCCCCACATTTATTATTACTGACATATGTATGAGAACAGAATCTTTATCAAGAATTACCCTGGGTTTTATATTTCTCATCTATTATTATATGTTTCCCATCTGAAATCATAACTATCTTCATACAGTTCAATGATTATTTGCAATAGTACTGATTGTGTTATAGCACTTTTGTAGGAAATCAAATTCCAAGGGACAATTATTAAACTTCTTGATGGTCCTAATAACAGAGAAATATGAATATACTTGACAAAACTGACAACTGTGTTTCTAATAAGTGGCTAAAACTTTCTTTAAAAAGTAAAGTAACATAATTTGCTTGTCACTTTTAAGCAGAAATTTGTATGAGGTATCATCTCTGTTCAACAGTGTTCAAGTTGCATACCTTGTAAAATTACATGTGAATGAAAAATTGAATCTGTCCACACTAACAAAGCAAATGATGTGCTTCAGACATGGCTTCCATTTTTCAGTCTGCCCATACTGTAGTACACTTTATATGAGGGGGGAAAATCATAATGTTTGGATAAGAGGAAAGGCCTACTGACTTTCAGATTATTAGTTATTAGCCTATAATGCATGAATGAGATCAGGCAAGAATAAAGCCCAAGATAGAAGCCAAAGGGAATGTGTCCACCAGCCGTACAGGATGTGGAGCAGGAAAGGTGTGAGGGATTTACTGCACTTTCACAGATGGTACCTCTTTGTGTTATTCTTTTGAGGGCAAATTTGGATGTTTGTGGCTATAATTAGGCACCAGTAGCTGTATTTTTTTTGCATGCAAATAATTGCAGGTACAAAAACTATAAATGCAGAGTAGAATCATAACAAATGATTCTTTACAGATTAACCACCAATTGCTTGTTGAAGTTTTATTCTTTACATATGAGTTTTATTTGCTGACACATTATATACAGTGCATGATACCATATCTGATAATAATAAATTGGATGGCCTTGAATATTGGTTTTCCATGGCTTTATCCTGAGTCAGTTTCTTCACTTGCCTTCTCCCCATGGGTGATTACTGGCTGTTCTCATGGTTTAAAATTCAGCTTCCCCACTAAGTACCAGAACTACCCACCACCAACCAATCAAATCACCCAAGTTAAGACGTTGGTAGGCATCACTGAGTTCACCTTATCTTTGGTTCTTGACATTTATTTAATTGCTAAATCATGCTGAATTTACCTATTTCTTCATTGTACATATTTTTTAATACCATTGCTCTAGTTCAAGACTTTGTCTGTTGCCTGAATTCCTGGAACAGTCTCTGAATTCTTAATATTTTTTGAGGACATGACCCTTGTAGCAGTCTGGTGAACCCATAGCCCCCTTCTCATAATATTTAAAATAAATAAATAGGCTCAAATGAATATTTTATATCATCAATTAATATGTATAAAATCAATAAATTTATAAAATAAATTATAAAGGATTACAACAAAATAAATTGAAATACACCTATCAGCATACTTTATGTGATATAGTAATACACTTCTTTATTATTATATTACATAAAGTATTCTAACAGTGGGATTAATATGTAATACAGTTTGAAATAGTAATTGGCATAAATATGATTTTAAAAAGGGAAGTCACTTTAACAAATGGTGTTGGGAAAACTGGATAGCCACAGACACAAAAATGAAGTTAGATTTTTATCTTATGCTATATATAAAATTAACTCAACATGGTTTAAAGACTTAAATGTGAGACTCAAAACTAATGTAACATTTCCCCCATCAAGTTCAAGAACCTCATAAATTCTATCCACAGCCCCTTTAGGGGCCCAAGAACCCTTGGTTAAGAGCCCCTGTGTTTAACTACTCTCCTTGCCTTCAGTCCTGACAACTCCATCTGACAAAATGCCAGCAAGAGCTGTATTTAATGGAAATCTAACCATGACCTTGTCTAAAAACACTGTCACTGCAACTGACTAATGTAGGGTCAAAACCAACAACTTGGAGTTTTCAGCAGATCCCTACTTATTTTCCCCCTCTATAGAATGAGTTCTTAAAATTTCTTTGTCTTCACTGCCCTTCCTCTTTTGTTTGCTGGGCAAATTTTATTCATACTTTAAGATACTCATCAGTTGTTATCTCTTCTAAGAAGTGTTCTCTTCTATAAGCGAGATTAGGTAACTTTTCCTGTGTAACCCTATAATAACCAGTGCTGAACCCTAGCATTGTCTCACTCTAAAATGAAAAGTCCTTGTGGACAAGGTCCAATTCATCATCCTGTCCTCTGTTCTAGCACATGATAGATGGATAACAGATATATACTGAATAAATAGATAAATAAATGAAATAGATCAGGTCATAAATAGGAAAATCAGATGAATTCAAGTTATATTTTATTCCATCCATCACTTATATTTAAGAGAATGGATGTGAAGAATAAATTATAATCCACAGACAGGTATTTTATCCATTTCAAGTCTATTTCAGATAAAGATGGCAATACACATGTATATGCTTAATTTAATTTATACTTATATAATTATGTTACACTATTTCTATTAATTATATTTATGTTCTATTTATATTTTATTATATTTATAATAATTATAAGATAAAATACGTGTCTACTTTTCCTTTAGTGTTTGAAGACACTGATTTGTTTAATAATTGTAAATATGTTCAAATCACATAATTTTGACAAAGAATTTAAGGATAATTCATTCTTAAGTGATATTTTGCAAAGTATTTCTTAACGTATGCTTTTGGGTTTTGGTACAATACTAATTCTCTTTTTTTTTTTTCACATATTTATTGGAGTATAATTGCTTTACAATGTTGTGTTAGTTTCTGCTGTATAACAAAGTGAATCAGCTATATGTATACATATATCCCCATATCCCCACCCCACCCCTCTAGGTGGTCACAAAGCACCGAGCTGATCTCCCTGAATCTAAAAAAAAAAAAAAAAAAAAATTCTGATGAATCTAGGGGTGGGGCAGGAATAAGGACACAGATGTAGAGAATGGACTGAGTACTAATTCTTAAAGCAGAAAAGTGCAATGTTTTCAAGAGCAACCTGGCTTTTTATTGACATACTTTTTGGCTATAATTGAAACAATGAGGAAAAGGTTTGAAGTGTGTGGAAAAACAATTTTTAAATGATACTACTTCTTTCAAAATATGTTATTTTGGAATAATTTTAACCAAATTGTATTTTTCAAAATATTTGAGATACTTCAGTCTAAACTTTAGCAGGATAAAGTAGAGACGAGTGTCTTTTTTCTTGTACAAATCCCTAGCAAGACTTCTCTAACATTCTAACATCCTTGAATAGCTATGTCAATAGGGCCTGTGCAACAAGCTGCCCTTCAGAGTGAAAAAAAATCATATAGTGAGTTATGTTTCACTTACCTGGAGCTCTATAATAACGCTCATCAACATGAGAATATCAAAATGATGGAAATTACTTGCCCTCTAATAATTAAGCAAATGGAAGTATATCAGAACCTGAACATGGAAAAATAGACAACGATATTTTCCAAGAAGAAGATGTATAGTTAAGAGAATGGATTTAGGAGGCTAACAGCCTTGTTTGAAATCTAACATTGCCTCTTACTAGTTATGTGACCTTGGGCAAGTCACTTATGCTCTCAGCACCTCCATTTCCACGACTATAAAAGGAGAGAGTCAAGAGCTGAGCTGAGCCGCTAGATTTCATGGTGGTCAGTTAAGACAAAGAACCAATAAGAAGGTAACACTCAAGCTTTTAATCACTTAAGGCAATAGTATAAGCAAGAAGCTGCAGTGGAAAAAGCACCAAGTCCTCCACCGTGCCATTTTTCACCATGGAACAGCTCCAGGAGAGAGTCAGATGGATCAGGCTGATCAACACAAACACAGGAAATTGTCTCACTGCTGAGGGAGCCCCCAAGCAAAGGCTCCTGCCTGAAGTTTTATGGATCTGGGGGCCAGAAGGGAGAGGGGAGGGAGGGAGAGGGGAAAGGGCTGAGAGTACTGAGTAATGAGCCAGAACGGGTTCCCCCCACCCCTCTAAGGACATTTCAGCAAAGGCACCCAAGGCAGGCACTTGAAAAAGAGGCCTCCTACTGGAAGCACCTGGGCTAGGAATGTCAACATGCTTAAAAGCATGGCTTGTCAGGGAGCCCTGAGTCCTCCTTGAAAGCAGCTCCCTTCAGAGACCTCAGCACATTGACTGTGCACCACCTCTGCTGTAAGGAGGGCTGCTTTCCTCTGTGAGGGCTGCCAGGTAAAGCCTTCGTAGCTACCTATGGTCAGGCT